TCCAATCCCAATCCAATCCAATTCCAATCCAACTTCTTTTACCATTCTAATCTATCATTTTCACATTGAAAGTCAAAAAGTTTCAAAAAAAGAAAATTTTTTTGAACTTTACTCTTGCAAGTAGTACAATATTCACCGAGGTTTAGCGATGGTGCCGCATTTTCAGTACTGCTAAGCGCGCGCTGTCTCCCTCATCCTCTCTTATCCTTTTCCTTTTTCTCATACATCCCCTTTAGTCTGACGTGTCAATTTGAATAATCGAAAGCGCGCCATCGCGGAAGCTTGCTATCGTATCCATGTCCATCTCTGCATGTCTTACACGTGGCAACATCCAATATAGTTATTGATTTGTGCAGAAGCGTGATATGACTTTATCATTTTTATAGTAATGGATTGATTGATTACAAAGATATAGATGCACAAAATATCTTCAAAGTTCAATTATAAGTTAATCAAAAAGAGAGATATGAATTATCACCTATTGAGAATGGAAATTAAAATCTCGAAAAATAAAGTAAAAGGCTTTCCGGAATTTGGGAAGAGCAACACTCCAATGCATATTATATCAAAGTTAATCTAAAAACCTCTTTCATAAGCTATATCGCCTCAAAATATCAATGGTTTGTTCGTTACCATTTAGGTTTATCTTAGCTTTCGGTTATAGCGCGAAGAGAGTGAGAAAATCAATTTCAACTATGATGTTGCACTGCCAATTAAAATGCCGAAAACTTCAACCTTATTTACTTGAGAACTTGAACGAACATAAATTCACATCAATAAATTCACAGGAAACCTCCCAAATGATCAATCACACAGTTGTGGCAAAAAATAATAAAAATTATTTCATTTCACATAAAACATAAAGATCAAATCATCAATGGATACACATGAAGTATAACTCATGAATTTTTGGTCTTAAAGAAGGCCGTTTTGTTTGATGGGATAAAATTGAAGAACACTACTGTGATGTCATGTATTTCGTGACAGCTTTAGTGCCCTCAGACACGGAATGTTTCCCCAATTCTCCCGGTAGAATCAATCGAACAGCTGTCTGGATTTCGCGGGCTGATATTGTTGACCGCTTGTTGTAACGTGCTAAACGACCTGACTCAACCGCAATGCGCTCGAAGACATCATTGAGGAAAGAATTCATGATCGACATTGCCTTCGACGAAATTCCAATATCCGGATGAACCTGTTTGAGGATACGATACACGTACACCGAATAAGTCTCTTTTTTCTTTTGTTGAATCCGTCGTCGCTTCTTTTCCTCCGAGGCGTTCGTTTTCTTCTCATCAACTTTTTCTTTTTTCTTCTCATGATCTTTTTCCTTCTTCTTCTCATCACCTTCTTCCTTTTTTTCCTCTTCCTGTTGATTCTTTGATGTCTTCAAAACGGGCTTCACCATCGTTGAATGCAATTCGTTAAACCGACTGTTCCCAGCAAAAGCAGCAAAAGAGCGCAATGATAACTCTCGTTCCGACTCGCCTATTTATTCATTCTTGGAAGCTTAAGCCACGCCTTTCTTTTGGCGCCAAAATTCAAGGAAAACGAGAAAAGCCCATCAGTTTGAGAGAACGCATGAATTTGTGGTTCTAAAGAGGATCGTTGGGTATGCATGGGATGAAGCTGAAAAAAACTTCAAAATGCTTATAAAGGTTTAGTGGTGACTTATCCGAAGAACAATTCTCATCCACTAAACAACTCATCATGTGTACATGTTTTTACTTGAATGACTGAGTAAGCGATGCATTTCGCATTGTCTTGTGATGTTATCTGTCTCATTTGAACTCTTCGTTGAAAGGATGTTATTTGACTCATACAGAACAGTACCGCATTTTAACACCATCAAACCAGAAGATATTCTTGTCCGGTATCCTGAATAAAAAAAAATTTGGAGTAACAAGTTAACAAAAAAATTTCATTTAACACACATTACCGTAGTGAATTGAATGAATGATTTCGTCTCGAAGCGGACAGTAGTCAAAATAATGTGGACAGTAATCAAAATAATGTTAACAGCGGACAGTAATCAAAATAATGTTTGCTTGAACATATTTTTGTTCAAAAATTTATGTTTGAAAAATAAATAGCAAATAGTCGTCGATTTTCAAAAGAGACTAAGCTATTCCAGAGTACTGGTGGGGCGTTTTGGTTTTTAAACCTTTCTTCTGCAAGGATTACTGTTAGTATCTAATGTATGACCTATGAATCATATGACCCATACGTATGACGCAATGGTCGCTAACCTGCTAAATAGTTACTGAATAATTTTGTTTGGATAACTTTTTAGAGAGACAGGTAGTGTCATAAAGTTAAGCAATAACAGATCTGTGATCCCCTTAAAGTCCAAGGCTGCACGTGCACTGGAGGAGTCAGCATGCTGTAACCATTACCGAAAAGTACTGGTAACCCCTTGAAAATCCTCCGTGATCGGAATCAGGAATTTCAATTATTTCTCTTGAACAAAGAATTCCTAGTAAGTCATCAGCTTACGTTGATTACATCCCTGCCCTTCGTATACATTGCCCATTGCTGTCCGGGACTGCGTTCGAAATTGATGAATTTAAATGCTGATCACTGCTAAATGAAAGAAAATAGCAGAAACATAAAAGATACAATATCTAGATTAGTAACCCATAATAAGATCAAATTAGATGATGACATTAAGCCGAAGTCAATAGCATATCAGCTCGTTACTTAGGAAGAAGCGCAGAATTGATATTAGATAACACACCACCTTGAGAAATCGATCGTTATATTGAAGAAAAGCTTACTGAGAGTTCACCGTCGTTCCACATAGCTTCGGTGCTTTTTATTGCTATGTGTCGCATTTCCAGCCAATTGCAAAGCTTCAATAATGGGGTACTGAAGCACTACCGTAAGGTACATTGAAGTATTAGCACCAATTTGTACAGCGTATTTATCACTGTGCATTGAACGACGAATACGGCCAACGAGAAAGTTCAGTCCAGTCGGAGCAAATCTTAATTTACCCTTCTTCTTTTTGTCCTTCTTTGCTAGTTTTGACATTTTTAACCAATACTGAAATGAAAAGTGAGTCCGATCAGACACAATAAAACAATTTGAACCAAGAGCATACGTTTGGCAACAGTCGTTTTGCAATTTATAGAACTTAAGAAAATAAATAAATTTGATTTAAAATTTTAATCTGAGAAATAATTTATTCATCATTCCAAGTACCTTATAAGCTCACTTCATTACCATTCTCAATTGTTTCATATACCGATATGATAAGTAAAACTACTTCGTTTTAAGCCACAAGCGCAACATTTTAATTTTGTACTTATTAATTTACCGAATCAAATAGATTAAGCTATCTCATTCAATCATTAAATGTCATCCAAAAATTAATGATGATGTAACAAAGCATCATAGAAACATGGAAATGGGATCATCCACTTAGAAGATACCGTATCCAAGGAGGATTGCCTACTATTCGTATGGTCATTTCTACCTTACTAGGAAAATGAACTAAAGACGTGCCAGGATCTCCATGTCATATAAACCTGAAGGCTTCATGAATTTCTGTTGCTATTTTACATTTATACCAAATTTCAGATTAAAGCGATAATATTCGATACTTTAGCCTTATTTGTCAACTTGCCAGCACAAATCGCCCATTCTTGTGTGGACACTTCGCAAAGAAAATTTGTTGTTCTTTTTCCACATAAAACAGAAGATCGGATATAAAAGCTATAAATGCATCGATGATCCCAAAAAGCGCTGTTGGATGGCCAAAAATAAGACAGGTCAGGTCTTATTAGGTTTTTTTCCGAAATTGATATCATATTAGCTGGTTTTTTGAAAAAAAAACGCAAATGAGAGATCGCAACGTTGGATAGAAGCACAGTCATTTCATCGTCACTCCGTATTGCTAATTGCAACTATCGTAGGTTGATTCGGTTCCACTTGTTTGCATGTGACACATTTCCAGATAGTTCCAAAATTTCACTAGAAAAATATTCAAGCACTGCTGCAAGATAAACCGAAGTACAGGCACCAATCCGATCAGCGTAGTTACCCCTGCAAAGCAAACGATGAATACCGTCAACAGGAAAGTTTAATCCGGCTTGGGCAGATTTTGATTTATCCTTCTTGGACACCCTCTTCTTGTTTGCTGACATTTGTAACCAACAAAAGTAAAGTGAAAATGAAATGAACTCAACTGGGCAGAAGCAAGTGATCTGGAATAGTAATCTGACAAAACGGAGGATAAATTAGAATTAAATAAATGAAAATATAAATCCAATCCAATCCAATCTCAATCCCAATCCAATCCCAATCTCAATCCAATCCCAGTCCAATCCAATCCCAATCCAATCCAATCCCAATCCAGTCCAATCCAATCCCAATCCAATAAAATTCCAATCCAATCCAATTCCAATCCCAATCCAATCCAATCCCAATCCAGTCCAATCCGATCCAATCCAATAAAATCCCAATCCAATCCAATCCAATCCTAATCCAATCCCAATCCAATCCAATCCAATCCAATCCAAT